AAAGAGTAAAATTACCATAATTGGTAAAGTGCTGTTAATTCAGACCCTGGGGGATGTTATAATGCCATCGTTTCACACTAGAGGTCACCCCCAGTAAGAAAATATAATTGTATCATCCTTTATTGTCCCCCTGTAGCTGTTACAATATTGGAGAGCTGATCCTTATTGTAAAGTGATTGGATTTTTATGAGACTGACATGCTAAGCGGCTTTCTAGTCAAGTAAAATACTGCATTAAACAGAATTCACTTTCTTACTTTAGTGAGAAGCAGATATATTGACTGTATAGTACAGGAAATAATATTTATTACATGCAATCACTGACCTATTTCTAAGGTATCAACTTTAATCAGAGGTAGGTCAACCCTATTGTTAAGATACAATACATTGTATATATAGATGGGTAACAGGCACGTTTTATTTTTTAATTGGAAAAAATATTGCTTCATAATGCTGAAAAGTAAGAATACTACATGAAATAATCACACCAAATATTTCAACAAATTCATTCATCTTAGAGCTTATTGCATTAAAGGCACAGTTTAGAAAATTGAAATTTCTTTTTGTATCATTTTATGGCAAATTATGATGATTCAAGGTCATCTCTTAGAAATGGCATTCATTGGCCAGGTGTGGTGGCTCACGCCTGTAATTCCAGCACTTTGGGAGGTGGAGGCGGGCGGATCACAAGATCAGGAGAGCAAGACCATCCTGGCTAACACAGTGAAACCCCATCTCTACCAAAAAATGCAAAAAATTAGCTGGGTGTGGTGGTGGGCACCTGTAGTCCCAGCTACTGGGGAGGCTGAGGCAGGAGAATGGTGTGAACCCAAGAGGTGGAGCTTGCAGTAAGCTGAGATTGTGCCACTGCACTCCAGCCTGGGTGACTGAGCGAGACTCCGTCTCAAAAAAAAAAAAAAAAAAAGAAATGGCATTCATTAAAACTCTTAATGGGGGGAGGATCTTTGATAAGTACAGAATTCCTATATTTGAAAACTTTTTGAATGCACTAAAAATGAGTTGATCATGCTCTAACAAAATCATACATTAACATGATATACACCACTTTTACTTTATCTCAATGTCAAAGCTCCTTTGATACTTGTACCCTTAGCCTTCACTACCCACTAATCCTCTTTTTTGTTGTTGTTTTGCTGTTGTTTGTTTGTTTGCTGTTCCTACCAATATTCTGGTCTTTCTACATTATTTATTCAAAATTTCAAAACCTGACTTTTTTCTTTATATCTTACTTCAGTTGCCATTCTTGGAGACATCAATAGCCATGTCACGTTAACCATCCAAGAGCAGAGCCCCTCAGACCCTTGGCTCTCTCACTCGCACGTGATGTTCTCTTGCACCCCATTTCAGCCACAAACTCACATGGCCACAGCCTTTTGCTTTTTATCAAATAAATACACCTCCTTCAAAAACTTGTTCCACCACCACTGCTTGTCCTTCTAGTGCCCTTACAGATAGATAGAAAAATAGACATATAGGTACGCCTACATATATTTTTATTACATTGTATTTTATTATTATATTCTTTTATCCTACTATTCTTTAGCCTCACTAATACATCTAACCCACTGATTCATTGCTTTTTCACAATCCATCACTTCTCATGCTGTGAGAAGTTCTCCTGTTGAAGCTTCCCTGTGCCCTGCCGAGATCCCGTGATCTAGAATTATAGTCATTCACTTGCTACCTGCTCCCCTCGCTTGCTCCACTTTCCTTCTACTGGTTCCTCTGGATAAACTCCATCCTCAGTTAAATCACACCATCTCTCTAGTCTATGCTTTTCTCCAGAAAGCTGAATGATACCAGGAAAAAACACAGAGCCATGCTGTCAGGTCTAAATTTGAAAATCATAACAAGAATTATTTGAAAATTATAACCAGAGAATCAAAGCGTCTCAACAATCCAAACATACTTCTGTGATATATTTGCTGACTCACCTATCAAAATAGAGTTTTAATTTCTTCTCTCCCCTCAAATCTCCAACACCACTATTCCCCCAATAAACACAGACACTCACGTTCTCAGCTAATAATGTTGCCTCATAGTTGACTGAGAAAGTGGAAGGTACTAACAGGAAACTGCCTCCATTTACCACCACCACAGCTGCTGCCCTCCCTAGATCTGTTCGCACAGCTTCTGGCTTTCCCTCCATTACAGTGAAGTGTCCTTCCCTATCTAGCCCTCCACTGGGCCAAAGACCCCACCTCCTTCCAACTTTTTATAATATCCATTCATTTCCTGGTATGATGGTTAATATTAGGTGTCAACTTGACTGGGTTGAGGTACGCCTAGACGGCTGGCGAAGCATTGTTTCTGGGTGTGTCTATGAGGGTGTAGCCAGAGGAGATTGACATTTGAGTCAGTGGACTGGAAGAGGAAGACTCACCCTCAATGTGGGTGGGCACCATCCAATCAGCTACCAGGATGTCTAGAAGGAAGCAGGCTGAAAAAAGGGGGAAACGCAGCCTGCTTGTGAGGGTTTTGCTTTTTTCCACTTCTCCTGCCCTTGGACATCAGACTCCAGGTTCATTGGCCTTTGGACTCTGGGACTTGCACTGGCTGCCTCTCAAGGACTCTCAGGCCATTGACCTCAGACCGAGGGCTACACTGTCGGCTTCTCTGATTGTGAGGCTTTTGGACTGGTACTGACCCACTCTAGTGGCTTCTCTCTTTTCCTAGCTTGTAGACAGCCTATTGTGGGACTTTGCCTGTAATTGTGTAAGCCAGTTCTCCCTTTTCAATATACATATATCCTACTGTTTCTGTCTCTCCAGAGAACCCTCACTAATAATACACATGGTGATCAATTTCTCCCTCTCTACTGAATATATATGTTCTCCACATCTTCATTATGTCCCACTGAAATCCATCTCCATTGACCCTCACTCAACCTCCATTGACTCCATGGTCCACTTCCAGTTTCTGGAATATTTCTCTGCTCCTTTTCATAGAAAAAAAAGTCTTGATGGCTTATTTACAGTCTCGGTCTTCACTTCTTGTCATACCATCTTTCCTTAGCCCACTATCTTTCCTACACAATCTACTCTTCTTCCTAAGGTCATGGATAACCATCACTGAAGTCCACCATGTTCCCAAATTTATGTGGCATTTACATTTCTTCATCTTACATTCTTGGCAAGGCTAGTCATTGTTCACCACTCAATCTTTCTTAAAACACAACCTTAATTTTTGTGACTTTACATTTTGCTGTTTTTCATCCTTATCATGAACCATTCCTTCCAAGACTCTTTTTCTGCATAGCCTACTCCCATTCAGTTCAAATTTGCAAAGTTGGAGTACCCTAGCGCCCCTCCAATCACCAATGTTCTCCATTTACAGTGTTTTTCATGTGAGAATTTATATATTCCCATGGTTTTAACTACTATCCATGTGGAAGACTCAAGTTTGTGTCTCCATCACTGAGCTCTCCATTGAGCTCTAAACTCTAAACTGTATTAACTGTAATTCTATCCTGAAATATCTAATCATCTAATCATCTTACTAACCAGTTGCAGTCATCATTATCACCTGCAGGAATGCTCTGGTCTCCTACCTGGTTGCTTTGCTTTCACAAAAAAATTCAAACTGTCTTCTGAAATGTAAATCCTTTCATGTCACATAACACATACCCAATACACACACAAACTTAAAACCCATCATTTGCTTCTCTTTGCATTTAGAATAAAATCTAAAGCCCTTACCACTGCCTACAAGAACCAAAGACATTACCTAGTTCCACCTTTCTAGACTCAGGACCTATCACTCTCTCCCCAGCTCTTTATACTCCAGCCCCAGTAGCTTTGTTTTTATGCTTCAAGCTCGTTGTTGTAAACTCAATGTTGTGTCCCCTCAACATCCACATGTTGAAGCCTAAAATCTTCATCGTGATGATATTTGGAGGTGAGGCCTTAGGGAAGTAATTAGGTCATGAAGGTGGAGTCCTCATGAATGGGAGATGAGTGCCCTTGTAAGAAGAGACAGGGAGATGATCGCTGTCTCTTCCCTGTGAGGACACAGCATAAAGGCATTCATCTGTAAACAAGGAAGAGAGTCCTCAACAGAAACTGACCATGCTGGCACCCTGATCTTGGATTTAGGACCTCCAGAACTATGGGGAAAAATGTCTGTTGTGTAAGTCCCCCCAATTTATAGTATTTTGCTAAGGCAGCGCAAGCATACTAAGACAGTCACCACACTTCCTGTGTCTCAGGGCCCTTGCCTTGTCTCTGCAGGGAAGACTCTGCCTTCAGATCTCTCTGTGACTGGTTCTTCTCCATTCAAAATTTATCTTCATATGGGCCCCATCAGTTTTCAACATATCACTCTGCTTTCATTTCTTCATAGCATTGATCAGTGTCTGCAACTTTGTTGCCCATTTTTGGTTGTCATTTATTTGCTTTTTTTAAATGTTTTTCTCAAGGCCAAGGACCTTGTGTATCTCGTTCCCCACCGTATCAAGAGTCTAGACTACATAAAGCATAGTAGGCTCTAAATAAATATGTGTGGAAGGAGGGAGGGAGGGAGGGAAGGAAGGAAGGAAGGAAGGAAGGAAGGAAGGAAGGAAGGAAGGAAGGAAGGAAGGAAATAAAGGAAAGGAGAAAAGGCATAAATAAGCTATAAGGATTTTCTCATAAAGGTTATGATTCAACTACTTGTGCAGTTTTTCTAAAAACTATCTTTCCAACCTCCCCGAAGAATTTCATCACTGCAAGTTTGTGCATAACGAAGTACAGAGCACAGCTTAGCTCAGAGGCATGGCTCTGTTAAATAAAGCCAATCTGACAAGATCAGACCACTGGGGTTTGGTCATTCGCATTCTGGATGGCTGGAAATGATGATGTGCCAAACCTCCTTGGGTACTCAGTGAACCACACTCTCTACCATCTCCCTACACACTCCAGGCAATTACCCATCTGGTTTGCCTGGCCTGCCCGGTTGTATTTGAAAGAGGTTGCTCAGCTGAAAGTGATTGGTGTGTGTCCAACCTGAAAGGCAGCCTCCAGCAGTTGTATCCCAGGCCGACTTTTCATCTGCGGCCGCTCTCTCCACACAGGAGACAGAATCCTCCCAAGAAGTGGCAGTACACTGAGAGACAAAGGAGGAAAAGGGGAGCCCAAGCAAGAGTCAGGAGATCTGGGTTCTAATCCCTGCCTGTGTCTAACTCACTATGTGACTTGATCAAATCTCTGTATCCCTCTGGGTGTCTGTTTTCCCAGCTGCAAACTGCGGGGTTCATACTAGGTAATCTCTAGGAATTCCTTCCAACTCTAAAGTTCCAGACCTGTAAACCACCAAGTGGTGAGCATTTGCCGAGTTGCAAATTCTCCAACTCAACAAGCCAATCTCCAGTTTGGAATGAGTGGCAATATTACTCTCATTTGGGGTTTTTATATTTACCCAGAACCTTATAATTACAAGGTTACCCTTACCACACCCCTTTAACACAGATGAGTGACAAACACTAATTACTCTTCTTTGCTGGAGGAGAAGGAAGGCCCAGAATGATTAAGTGACTCACCCTGTGTTTACAAAAGCAGTGGTTGGGCAGAGACTAAATATCCATAAGCTCCCGAGTTCCAGACCTGGACTCAGGACACTAGGCCGTAGGACTTCACGGGACCACACCGGTGCTTTGCTTCACTTTGTGTTTTATTCTGAAATATATGAAAAACACTCTTGATTGCATTCTCCTTTCTGAACAATTCATTGCTATTAGTGTTAATGCAATTGGATAAAAGAGAGAAATTTATATTTATTTCAACAAACCACCTAAGAAAATTACATGTGGCCACAAAGTGAGGTATATAGGGAGAGTGTGGACTTGTCTTTGTTTTGTGAGCAAACATTTTGCTGGGTATTAAGAAATCTGGGTAGTAACAGGATAAAGATGTACAGGATTCAGTTCCACCCCCGACTATGCCACATATTAGCATGATGCTTCATTCTCTGCATCTTCGTTTTCTCATCTGTAACATGTGACTGATATGATACATGATAAGATAAGGCAGCTACCCCACTGCAGTTGCTCAATTAATTGGCACCTTACTCTCTCCCATAATCCCTGTGGAAAAGCAAAATAGGGTTTTCCTTACCCACACTTTATACCATCTACATCCAAAGCCCCATGCCCCTCACTATCACCTGATGCAGAAGGACCGTAGGCTGCTAAAGCAGGTGGCTAATTGCCCATGTGGTTAAGGGATGCCTGACACCTCCAGTTCCAGCCTTGCTGAGGACATGCTGTATCATAAGAAATGAATAACCGACAGTACATCATCACCTGTAACGGTGGGGTTAACCAAACTGTCGCAGGGACTATCCCAAGTACAATTAGGGAAGGATCTATGAAAGGTTGTAAACACTTATGTGATCCTTATATGCACAAAGGATCCTTATGTGATCCTTTTGCATATAAATGTGCACAAAGTTCTGTGATTTTTTTTTTTTTATGAGCAACCTTTCGTGCTGCACCCAGATGTCTCTCCACTCCTCTAAATGGCCACTTCCGCCTACCTGCCCAGCTGCCTGACCCCGGTCCTTCCAACAGCAAGGGCATGTGTAGAAGCCAGAGGGTGAGAATAAAGAGATGTGAAGTAAGGAAGGGAAGGCAGTTGAATAAGGCAAATTTCTTTTCTCAGCTTATTTCCTTTTCTTACTTCTCAGAGATTCAGAAAGTAACATTTTCCAAGATCAGGCTTCTCTCTACGTGGTTAAAAATAGGAGAATTAAAAACAAAATGACAAATGAGATAAATTTATAGTGAGGTAGTTGTGTCCTTCTGATGAGGTTCACAGAGCCCTGGACTCTGTGCTACGAGATGTGTGCCAATCTGCCCCCACCACCAGCGGGTCCCGTGATCATCTGTAGGAAGATGAATTCTCTGAGACTCAGTGTCCTCGCCTCTGTAAAATAAGAAGGTAGGAATAAATGCCTCCGCAATACTTACTAGCATTGAAGTTCTGTGTATACAGGAACAATATTCACAAAAACAGACACGCGGTATTCACTCATGCCTTATATTCAGTGTTTGGTGGCCCTTAGGTGCAAAGATTCATTATTTATTTTCATGGCATTGTTTGATTTTTTTCTTTGAGGTAAGAATAAATTTTATTTCCTTGAAAGAAGTACAAACACATGTAGAACTACGTATTTCGACACATCCGTATCATTAAGTTCACCCAGGCATTTTAGATTAAAAAGATCCAAGAACCATGTTTTGAGAAACTGTTATGGTAAGCAGGAGAAAGTCCAGAAATGGCACTTTTAATAATTTGCTCTATTTATTTGTATTCTTAGATGTTTGATAATAAATATGCATATTCTACTAATTGTATAACACTTGAAGAAACCGGTCATGAAAATGTGATTTTAAAACAATTCTTCTCAAACCATATAGAGAACTTTTGAAAAAATGGATTCCTGGGCTTTACTTCTTATCTATTAAATCAGACTCTCTGGGAAGGATATGTAAGTGGCCCAGATACAGGTATATTTACAAAGCCTCCAAGGTGACGCCACTGATAGCCCAGGTCTGGAAACCATAGCTAGAAAGCAGAGTCTCGGCAGCCAAGTCTGGCAAGCACTTCAGTCTCTTTCCTGAGTGCCCAGCAGAAGTAATCTTCCCTCTCACTTATGAACATCTGTGATAATCATCATGGAGAGTGGGTTTGTTTGTTAATGGGGAGAAGAAAAGCTATTTACCTAGTTTGCAAGCCAAGAGAGAGCTTAATTAATGTCAGAGCAGATATGATTTCCTCCTCTCTCCTTGCCCTAGGAACTCACAGGGATGACGAGAGGATTTTTAATTAATGTTTGAAAAGCATTCTGAGATCCCTGGATAAGAGGCACTGGAGAAGGGCAAAACATGATTTATTGTTGTTATTAATAGTAGTTAATAGAAATAATGAAGTTCTTGAAAGTGATTTTTTTTCGTTTTTTTTCTTTTCTTTCTTTTTTTTTTTTTTTTTTTAGAAAATCTATGACATCAATTGCCAATGTGTTTTTGTTGCAAGAAATTTTGGAGAGAATGAAGGAGAAAGGAAAAAAAAGGTACAAGGGAAATAAAAAAACTTTTTTCCTGTTCTATTTTTGACTTTGAAGTTCTACCATAAGAACACAATGAGTACTTCCTCTTACACTTTTCTTAGGTAAATAAAAACGCTATTTATTTCTATGGTACCAGTGAAAGATTTTGGAGGGACATAGTCATAAAGAAAGAACTTAGGGTTGAAAAGAGAAGTCCTGAATTTGGAGCTTACCATGTTGCTATTTACTGACTCACCATTTACTGATTATTTAACCTCGGGCAGGTCACATTATCTGGTTTTTATTATTAAAACTGGGAGATATTTTAAAATGTTCTACCCATCTCACATATTCATGTAGATGAATGGAGATGACAAATGTGGAAAAATTTTAAATATCTGAATGCTGTGATACAGATTTTATTGATGATAATGATGATGATAATCATTTCATCAAATATTCAAATTGCAGGATGGTAGAAATTAATGTACATTATTTATAATAGAGTTTAAAAAAATAGTAGGCATGCAATATTTCTTTTTTATTAATATATATTTGTACATATTTATGGGATACATGTGATATTTTGTCACATGCATAAAATGTGTAATAATCAAGTCAGGATATTTAGAATATCACCTCTATCATTTATCATTTCTATATGTTGGGAACATTTCAAGTCCTCTCTTCCATTTTGAAATATACAATGCATTGTTGTTAACTATAGTCACCCTATTCTGCTATCGAACATTAGAACTTATTCCTTCTATCTAAGTATATGTTTGTACCCATTAACCAATCTATCTTTATCCCTCCCTGCCTCCTATACACATACCCTTCCTAGACTCTGGTAACTCATTCTACTCTCTACCTCCTCTACCTCCATGAGATCAACTTTTTTTAGCTCCCACGTACAAGAGAGAACATGTAATATTTGACTTTCTGGGCCACACTTATTTTACTTAACATAATGGCCTCTAGTCCCATCAATATTGCTGTAAATAATAGGATTTCATTTATTTATGGGAAAATAGTATTCTATTGTGTATATATACCATATTTTCTTTACCTCTTCATTCACTGATGGACACTGAAGTTGATTCCATATCTTGGCTATTGTGAATAATGGCTGTAATAAAAATGGGGATGCAAGTATCCCCTTGATAAACTAATTTCCTTTCCTTTGGATAAATACCCAGTAGTGAAATTGTTGGATCATATGACAGTTCTATTTTTAATTTTTTGAGAAATATCCATTATATTTTCTGTAATGGCTATACTAGTTTACATTCTCACCCACAGTGTATTAGTTCCCTTTTCTCCACATCCTCCCCAGCATCTGTTAATTTCAGTCTTTCTTATAATAATCATTCTAACTGGGGAAAATGATATCTCATTGTGGTTTTATTTGCATTTCCCTGGTGATCAGTGATGTTGCGACTTTTTTATAAAACAATTGGTCATTTGTATGCCTTCTTTTGAGAAATATCTATTCATGTCCTTTCCCCACTTTTTAATGAGATTTTTTTTTTTTTTGCTGTTAATTTCCTGAATATTCTGAATATTATAACCCTTTCCAGATGAGCAGTTTGCAAATATTTCTCACATTCAACAAGTTGTCTCTTCACTCTGTTGATTGTTTCCTTTGCTGCACAGAAGCTTTTTAGTGTGAGATAATTTCATTTGTCTATTTTTGGTTTTGGTGCCTGTAATTTTGAGGACTTAGCCATAAAATCTTTTCCTTGCCCAGTATCCTGAAGCATTTCTTCTTTGTTATCTTCTAGTAGTTTTACAGTTTGGAGTCTTACATTTAAGTCTTTAATCTACCTTGAGTTTATTTTTTTATATGGTGAGAGACAGTGGTCAAGATTCATTTTTCAGCATACAGATATCCAGTTTCCCCAGCACCATTTATTGAATAAAATCTGTTTTCTCCAATGTATGTTCTTGCTGCCTTTGTTAAATTAGTTGGTTGAAAATATGTGGATTTATTTATGGATTCTCTACTTTGTTCCATTGGTCTAACTGCCAGTTTTAATCCCAATACCATGCTGTTTTGGTTACTATAGTTTTGTAATGCATTTTATAGTTAGCAGTGTGATGTCTCCAGCTTTGTTATTTTTCCTCAGGATTGCTTTGGCTATCTGGGCTCTTTTTTTGGTTTCATACAAATTTTAGGTTTTTATTTCTGTAATAAATGCGGTTGGTATTTTGATAGGGATTGCATTGAATCTGTAGGTTGCTTGAGGTAATATGGCCATTTTAACAATACTAATTCTTCTGATCCATGAGCATGGATGTCTTCCCATTTGTTTATATCCGCTTAATTTATTTCATTTTGTCATTTTTGTTATAGATATCTTTCAATTCTTTGGTTAAATTTATTTCTAGGTATTTTATGTATTTATGTAGCTATAGTAAATGGGATTGCCATCTTGATTTCCTTTTCAGCTAGTTTGTTATTCGTGTATAGAAATGCTACAAATTTTTGCAAGTTGATTTTGTACCCTGCAAACTTACAGAATTTGTTTATCAGGTCTAAGAGCTTTTTGTTGAATTCAGACATGAAGCCATCTGGTCCTGGGCTTTTCTGCCTTGGAAGGTTTTTTATTATTTTATGATCCTTTCTATTTCTGAGGCATCTGTTGTAATTTCTTCACTTTCATTATTGATTTTATTTATTTGGGTCTTCTTTCTTTATTTCTTAGACTAGCTAAGGGTTTGCATTTAAAAAAAAAAACTCTCGGTTTTATTTTTTCTACAGTTTTTATGTTCTCTACCTGATTTATTTATGTTCTGATTTTTATTATTTACTTCCTTCTGCTAATTTGGGGCTTAGTATGTTCTTCTTTTTCTAGTTACTTGACGTATAATGTTAGATTATTTGCTTCAGAGTTTTCTTCTTTTTTAATGCAGGCATTTATTGATATGACTGTCCCTTTTAGAACTGCTTTTACTGCATAACATAGGTTTTGACATATTCTGTTTCCCTTGTCATTTGTCTCAAGATGTTTTTAGCATCACTTTTATTTACTCTTTGACACATTGATTGTCTAGGAGCACGTTGGTTAATTTCCACATATTTGTGAATTTGTTAAGATTTCTTTTGTTACTGATTTCTAGTTTCACACCATTGTGCTCTGAAACAATACTAGATATAATTTCAATCTTCAATTCATTAAGACTTGTTTTGTGGACTAACATATGGTCTATCCTAGAGAATGTGCCATACTGAAGAAAAATGTATATTCTGGTGTTGGCTGGAGAGTTCTGGATATGACTGTTAGGTCCATTTGGTCAAAAGTACAATTTAAGTCCAGTATTTTCTTATTAATTTTCTGTCTGGTTGATCTATTCGTTGTTGAAAGAGGGGTACTGAAGTCCCCTATTACTGTGTTGCTATTTATGGAATTCTCATAATGTAAAAATGTGTTTCCTTAATGGTGTCCTGTTAAGTTCCACAGGTTGTCTTTACTGTTTTTATTCTTTCTTTTTTTTCTGTTATTAAGTCATTTTAAATGATTTATCTTTAAGTTCACAGATTACTTCTTTTGCTTGATCTAGTCTGCTATTAAAGCTCTCAATTGTTTGATTTCATTGACTGAATTCTTCAGCTCCAAGATTTCTGTCTGGTTCTTTTTCTATTATTTTTGAGATGGAGTTTCACTGTTGTTGCCCAGGCTAGAGTGCAATGGCGTGGTCTCAGCTCACTACAACCTCCACCTCCTGGGTTCAAGCGATCCTCCTGCCTCAGCCTCCCAAGTAGCTGGGATTACAGGCACCTACCACCATCCTTGGTTAATTTTTATATTTTTAGTAGAGGTGGAGTTTCATCATGTTGGCCAGGCTGGTCGCAAACTCCTGACCTCAAGTGATCCACCCACCTCGGCCTCCCAAAAAGGTGGGATTACAGGCATGAGCTACTGTACCCAGCTGGGTTTTTTTTAGACAGAGTCTTGCTCTGTCACCCAGGCTGGAGTACAGTGGGGTGATCTTGGCTCACTGCAA